CATCTTCCTGAACATCCCACATTGTTTTGGTGACACTTTCTCCAACATCTTTGTGCCATTTTATATTTTATTGGTCTACCATCTCCCTTTCTCTCTGTCTCAAGAAATACTCAAAGGAACGTCTGCTAGGGAAACCAAATGTCAGCCACTAAGAACACACACATACAAAAAACACCATCAGTTGAAAGGATGTGGACAGAATATATTTCCCCTTTAGTCTCTCCATGGTTTTCTGAAAACACCTGAAAGATGAATAAATATATGAATAAATGACTCGGCCAGAGATATTCAAAGTAGCTTGATGAATAAATATATGAATAAATGACTTGGCCACAGGTATTCGAAGTAGCTTTAAAGGTAAATGTTCCCACTGACATTTAGTCCATTCGTGTCCAACTCTAGGGTGCGGTGCTCATCCCCATCGCCAAGCTGCAGAGCCAGCATTTGTCCGAAGACAGTTTCTGTGGTCACGTGGCCCGTGTGACTAGATACAGAATACCGTTACCTTTCCACCGAGGTGTTACCTATTTACTCACATTTGTACATGCTTTTGAACGGCTAGGTACTTCCCACCAAGGTGGTACCTATTCATCTATCACATTTTACATGCTTTTAAACAGCTAAGTTGGCAGGAGCTGGGACAAGTGATGGGAGATCCCTCCGTTGCGTGGATTCAGTCTTACGACTGCTGATCTTCCGACCTTGCAGCATGGAGGCTTCTGCGGTTTAACCTGCAGCGCCACCATGTCCCTTCTACACAGGTTTAATTCTCTGTTCTGCCTGCATGAACAAGATTTTGCACATTATAACCCATCTGTTTCCTAGTTTTGAGGAATGTTGTCCCTGTTAAAATTACTCATCTTCCAAATACCTTCATAACCCATAAGAGAGTTCAGTGTTATCTCTATATGCGGCTCTGTGTGATTTGAAAAACGGTTAGCTGTGAGAAAGTTGTCGTGCATTTTGGGTCTAGTGTAATAGCACAAATAGCTTGCATACACTTCCTTGTGCCCAACCCTTACTGAATCCAGTAGTGATTTATTTCCAGGTAAATATCATGGAACCAGCATGTCAGTTACTCAGGTAAGACATGTAATAAAGATTCAAGTCTATAGAAGAGCTGATTTAATATTTAGTCCTGGCATCCAGTTCTGCATCTAGTTCTATCTTTTCTGGTTCGGCTGCATGCACAACTCGCTTTTCTCAAAGTGGATGACATGAGAGCATGGCTCAATTTTCTCTACTTTTTGTTTCTCAATGATCAGGAGGGATGTGAGGCAGTCCCTCACCGAGCAACCGTGTACGCCCAGCTAGTGGAGTCCTACAGAATGTGGTCTTGGAACAAGCTGTTTCCCATTCACGTCCAAGCCGAAGAGGGCGAGAAGGTGATCATTTCCCCGCCCGAGATAGAGAACTGCCCTGGGGCACCTTCGGTTTATGACATTCAGCTGAATCAGGTGCCCCAGAGTGACTTTGTGGTTCTCAGCGAAGTTGTGACAATGTTCAGGTGAGTACTCAACTCAGATGGTGTTTCTAGGGAGGTGTTTCTTTAACTCAAGGCTGCGCAGGCTCAGGACTTTTGGGGAGTGTGAAGGCGTTGGGGGACAGTTTTCCAAACCTCAAGACCTAGAGACTCACCAGCCCCCAAATACAGAAAACAAAACCAGATGGTGCCAGATGTTTACTTTGAATTTGTGTGTGTGTGTGTGGAATCTCTTTTATTTTTATTTTTTAATTCAAAGAAGATGCAATGGGGGAAGCCTATATCTTCTTTCGAAACAGAATTGCCTCTCCTGAATCCTTCCAGAAGCATCCGTTGCCCATTTTTGCCAAATACTTTTTTCAAGATACGACGGTTCTAGCAGGAGTCTCACAGTTCCATAAATCCTGCCTTTGAAGTAAAACAGTGGGGCACTGCTGTTCCGTTTGTTGAACGTGGCTTAACAACGGAGCAGTGGCCATGTTAATCTGCTTCAGCAAGGATAAGAAATGTATTTTTGCTCCACTTTTAAAAACAGCGCAACAGCTGTATATTTAAAACAATATTTAAAACGACTGAGTGCAACCTTAAAAGAATCAGTTAATCAAAGACATATCGGAGGCTATTTACAGTTCAGAAACCCGGAATGCTTTCTTGACCTTGGAAGGGTGGAAAGTTTAGTCAACCTCGAGGTGGCAACGTGAGCCCATTGGGGTCAAAGGTTGTGAGCAGGGTTGCAGCGCTGCAGTTTCGCCACTGTGCCACGAGGTTCCCTTGTGGCTCCTATACACTTGCATATGTGGGAGACCTAAGAAATCCATGCACGAGCAAGGTATTAGTCTCCAAGTATCATCTGCCAGTAGATGAAGGTGCGATGTTCTGATTGTGACAGTGGCAGAGGCTGTTTCCCGGTGAAAGCCACAAGATGCATCTTCGGTTCTCACAAATGTCTTTAAAACCTTGCGTAGTCTCACTGATATAAATTCTGTGGTTATTTGTGCATTGATGTGAGGTGTGCAGCAGTGTGAGCAACATGGTGCCATTTAAAAGGAGCTGATTGCAACTTATTATTCCCCACAGTGTAGATTTTAGCAAGCCAGTCAGCCGAGCCCCTGCCTCCTCTACGGTGCAGCTGGAGCCCATCCGGTCCGGCAGAGCCCAAGTGGTCCTCTCGTGGTGGGACATTGATATGGACCCGGCCGGCTCCATCAAATGCAGCATGGCCCCGTACTGGGTCCAGCCTGCCTCCGAAGACATCCCGGTAATGTTCAACATCTTCTTAACCTTGTACGAGTCTGTTGACATTTTAGTGCACGTGTATCAGCGAAGAACACGCGAGCAGGTGTTGCCCAGCTTTGCAAAATTTGTACATTTCGCTGTTAGTCTTGATTTAAAAGGGACTGCTGATGGGTGCTGGGTTGAGGGGAAGGAAAGATTGGGCCCCTGTTGTGTTCTGTGGCGCCTGTCGTATTTGGATGGGGCAATGGGTTCTTTGGGCGTGAAAGATGGACGATGGAAGAGCAGTCTTGCAAAACAGTGGTCAAAGCGACACCTCCTGTTCTGTCCGTGTCTTAAAAGGGAGCTTCTTCCCCTACCCCATGGCTGACACCGTCAAGAATCACCTTGGGCTCACTCCTTCTGCCCAGCTGAGATTTTTTTCCCCACCCCTTTTTGAACACTTCCAGTGGAGAGACCATTGGATGCAATGCGTGTATTTCCTTCCGGACGAGAGACCTGTCCTCCAGGGCCAGCCTGTGCACCTGACCGCCTTTCACGACGATTACTCCATATGGTATAAGCTTCAAAAGGGCAGGTAACTGAAGCCACGGAGCAGCGAGCTGGGGAAGTTTTCTTCTTCCTCAGTGAAAGCATGTTGGGTGGGTTGGGTGGTCATTATGTAACAGATGTTTTAGATAGCATAAAAATTAGTCTGGAAAGACCCGCCGGGATCCAGCTGAACACTTTTGCCCAACATAAGACGATTGGCAGGAATTTCAGCAGCAAATGGCCATGAATTTAAAAGTTAGCTTGGCTGTTTGCTCTCACATGACAATTCGCATAATTGGTGTGTTACCCCAAACACCTCCTTTGACGTCTTAGCTTATGGCAAATCGCAGCTGAGTTTTACACTGATGGACTTAGGCCAGCCTGGCATAAATAATAGGATCCTGGCCATCAAGTATTGCAAAATGAGTTAAGAAATGCATTCATCTTCTAATACCGTAAGCCACCTCAAGGCCTTTTTAGGAGAAAGGCAGGGTAAAAATATGCTGAATAAATAAAATAATAATACTGTATTTTGAGTTCTCAGTGTTCTCTGAGCAAAGGCATGTTCTTTTTTTTTCTCCCTGGCTTTTTGATGCAATGGTCTTTCCTGGCTCTTTGACCCAAAACATTTCCTGGCTGTGAAAAACAGCTTGTCCTCCCTGACCTGTGTCTACATCCTGTCCCAGAAAGGCAGGATCAGCTCATCTCTACCAGTTTCTGCCTTAGCAGGGAACAGGCTTCTCCCTCCATGGAGCAAGAGACACTTTCAGACAGAACGCTGACGCAAAATGCTGTTCAGATATTGAAGGGGATAACGGACTCCTGCCACGATTCTTCCCCTATGTGTTGCCATCTGGTTCTGTCAGACTGCAGCTCCCATTATCCCCAGCCAGTATGGACCCCGATCAAGGAGCATGGTGGAGGTTGTAACACCAAACATCTGGAGGACAGCAGACTGGAATAGGCTACTTTGTTCCTTCCCCCCCCCTCAAAAAAAAAAGCTAGAATGCAGGGCATGTAGGATGATTTGGGACTGACAACCCCAGAGCTGGCTCATTGCATCTCCTTGTTTTTAGAAATGAGGGGGCAGAGACGGGCGCCCCCATTGAGAGCCCCGTGTGCAGGTGTCAGGCCCACCTGCTGTGGAATCGGCCGCGGTTTGGCGAACTGAACGATCGGAACCGGACAGCTCGGTATCTGGAAGCTCTGCAGAAAGTAAGATTGCCTGAATCTTAAAAAAATATCTTTAAAAAACTTTTGCTCTTTCAGAAACGACTGTTTTTCACCCTTTTGTAGGCAAGACTTGGCTAATGGATCAAGTCCTGCTGTTCAGAAGGGATGACTACTTTTTGCATATGGTTTCATAACTTGCCATAGTGGTGGCTAATTAATCAGGTGCTGGGGGACCCCCACCTTGGGTTCATGACCAGATCATGACGGAGACACACCTCTGCACCTCAGCAATTAGCTGGATTTAGCCACCGCAAATGACACAAACCCTATGCGGACGCCAGTAGGATGCTGGCGGATGTGTAAAATCATTGCCCATGCCCTGCCTGTACTTGTCGTGATGACTGTTCTCTGGATCCCTCTCACAAATAACTAGCAGAAAACATACGTCCCTTTGTCTTTAAAATATCCTAAATTCTACCTGAAGCATGGGAATGGCGTACAGCCTTCGGACATCAGTGTTGTCATGTAAAACAAGCACATCTTTCGTGTTGAGCTTTTAAACATTTTGCAAAGGGTGGACTTGCTGACAAGCTTGCCTTTTCTCCCGGCAGGTCCTGGAGCCGAGCAGCGTATGCCTGAGCCTGAGCGATGGCAGCCTCCTTCCTGCGTTGGCTCACCATCTTGGAGCAGAAAAGGTGCTCAGCTCCTTTTCTCTTTCTTTTTGCTTCCGTGTGTGATGTGTTTGCAGAATTTAACATGGGCTAGCGCTTCTGTTCCTTTCTCTAGGTCTTCAAATGGGATTTTATAGGCTTTCCCCTTAAGTGCCGTCAGTGGTGCGTGACACCTCAGCAAGTGCAACTAGGATGGGATGGGTCTTTGGGATTTTCTGGGCTACAAATACAATAATTTGCCATTCTGGCAGTTACGAATACTGGAATGTGATCCTTAAATTAGAAGGCCTTGAAGCTTAGCTAGGCCTAGCTCTGCCCAAGTGCTCAGAAGGAAAACTCCCAGCAAGCACTGGGGCAAGAACAGGAAGCTTGAGTGGGGCTAGGCCTAGCTTAGCCTCAAAGCCTTCTAAAATGGGCCTTTCTCCCACATGCATCAGATACTTGTAAGTTAGGTAAGGACAAAAAATTACGGTATTTGTAACCCAGAAGATCCCAAAATCCCATCTCTACTTCCACCCATTCTCCCTTCCTGTATTTTAGCACATGACATTCTTTTCTTAAACCAACGTACTGTGGTGTCTCCTTCCTTCCTTCAGATCTTTCTTCAAAAACCCAACTCGTTCTGATAAGTCTTTGATTTAATGCAGGAATCTTAATCTGAAACTGAACAAAAGCTCAAGAATTCGTTGTAACCGCATTTGCTTGTATTTGTTACGATGATGTTTCCCAACGGCGGGAGACATCCTAATGAGTGTTGCTGCCTCTTTCTCTTCCAGGTGTTTGCCCTGGAGAGCTCTGCCATTTCTCATTCTCTCATGCAGAAAGTAAGATTTTTTCCCCCACTATGTTTGCAAATGTGCTGTCATTTCGTAGTTCCGTGACCTCTTGATAAGGGTGCCCAGCTGACCTGGCCAGGGGCATGCTGGCTGGGAGATTCTGGGCACACTAGGCGGGGAAAAGTAACTTTTTGAACTCTGGAGAGGAAATGTGCGGGATAAGAAGGGCAGACAGGCAGGCAAGTTTGGTTCATTGTGCTGTAATGAGCAGAGGAATATTAAAAGCCAATCCAGGGAGCATCAAGTGTTCATTTTATTCTCTCCCTGTACCAAGATTTTTAAGGCCAATCGTCTAGAAGATAAAATCAAAATAATCGAGAAG